GAGAGGGCAAAGGACTACAGTGGAGATCCAAAGATGCTATGGGGAAATATTTACACATTCATTCAACAAATAATTTGTTGAAACTCGAATATTCAATCACCTATCAGTCATTCACACACAGGTGAATTTTCACCATCTTCGGTGTGAGGTTTAGGCTTTCTTCTTTCTTTTTCCATAGGTGAACATTCACATGGTTCCAAAATCAACCCTAACATTAAAAGGCATACAGGGGGGTACCTGGGTGGCTCAGTTGGTTAAGCGACTGCCTTCGGCTCAGGTCATGATCCTGGAGTCCCTGGATCGAGTCCCGCATCGGGCTCCCTGCTCGGCAGGGAGTCTGCTTCTCCCTCTGACCCTCCCCCCTCTCATGTGCTCTCTCTCTCATTCTCTCTGTCTCAAATAAATAAACTAAAAAAAAAAAAAAATCTTAAAAATAAATAAATAAATAAAATAAAAGGCATACAGGGCGCCTGGGAGGCTCAGTCAGTTGAGCGTCCCACGCTTGGTTTCGGCTTGGGTCACGGTCTCAGAGTTGTGGGATCGAGCCATGCCTCAGGCTCCAAGCTCAGCACTGAGTCTGCTTGTCCCTCTCCCTCTGTTCTTCCCTCCCCCACACCGCTTTCTTTCTCTCTCTCACAAATAAATTAAATAAATAAAATCTTTTAAAAAAGGCATATGCTAGGAGCCTCCCAGCCATTCCCACAGCTGCATAGTATTCCATTGTATACCGTGGTTTAATCAATAAGAGTAGTTTCTCAGGGAAAGATTTTGGAGCCTGGAGCTCTCTGAAAAGAAGGGCTTGGTGGGTCACATTTGGAGGCAGCAAGGGACACTGGGGAACCAGGGAGCAAAGGAGCAAACGACAGGGAGTGGGGGATACTCTGCTGATTTGGAAATGCCTCCTGAAGCTTTAGGCAGGAATTTATCCTCCTCACTAGTCCAGGGAAACTCTGAGTAAAGCGTTTAGAGAGAGAAAAACCTGTCTCTAGGATTCATTTACTCTATTCATTTCTTTGAGCCCATTATTAGGGATCAGGCCCTGTGCTCAGGCCATGGGGAACATGAGGGCAAGATCTGCATCTTGGTTCACCTGGAGACAGGTGTGCCAACCGTGGGGGGCAGTGAAGGTGATCGTCCATGGATTGGCCAGGCTCACAGAAGAGGAGGCCCCTTCTCAGCCTCAGATCTTGTCTGAGCTGTCATCCCGGATCCTACACACACAACTTCTGAGCCTCATCTGGAGCTTAACACCCAATCCCACTGTTGTACCTGCCACACTGTGCTCTCGTTAATATCAAGCTCTCCTACGAGAATGTGAGCTCCGCGAGGTCAGGCGCTGTCCTTTAGTCATGGTGCATTCCGAATCCCTCGAGTTCTGCACAGTGCCTGGCTTTCTGTATAGACATCTGCCTGTTAAATTAATTCTACCTCTTCACAGAGATGGAGCTGAAGCTGAGCCTGGAAGAGCAAGTTAGCTTGACCAGATGGGAAAGATCATCTAGGAGAACAGGCACATAGCTAGGATTGGGATGAACTGTCTTAGTAGAGATGGGAAGGGGGTGATGGGAGACTAAAGCCTGGTAACGTCAGACTGTGAATGCTCAGTGTCCCCAGAGGAGAGAAATAGGGAGGCTGGTGGTCATCTAATACAAGGACAGTGTCAGCTCTAGAAGCAAATTGAGGAGATGCTGAGATTCATTTGGAGATTGATTTCCCCAGTGACTTCTCCTGAGTATCTGTGGAGGCAATTAAGGACTTTCCCCCCCCCACTCTTTTTGAGCCTTATCCTCCCACAAATACCAGGACCCCGGCTAGTCAGAAGAGATATTTCCAATTTTTCCCTTAGATCAAAAGCATGACATCTTGATTTCAAGAACTATCAAGGAGAAACCGTAATTCCAAGCTGGCATACCGGTTCCATTTTTAAACAAAATTGACCAAGGACCATAATGTTTAACTTGAACTGAGCAGCAGTGTGGCTCCCTTCCTGGCCTTTGGACTGAGAAGGACCCATAGAAAGTCAAATTGCCTCGGGGCGCCTGGGTGGCTCAGTCGTTAGTAAGCGTCTGCCTTCGGCTCAGGTCATGACCCCAGGGTCCTGGGATCGAGCCCTGCATCGGGCTCCCTGCTCGGCAGGAAGCCTGCTTCTCCCTCTCCCACTCCCCCTGCTTGTGTTCCCTCTCTCGCTGTCTCTCTCTCTGTCAAATAAATAAATAAAATCTTAAAAAAAAAAAAAAAAGTCAAGGGTGCCTGGGTGGCTCAGATAACCGGTTAAGCATCTGCCTTCGGCTCTGGTCATGATCCCAGGGTCCTGGGATCGAGCCCCACACTGGGCCCCCTGCTCCGTGGGGAGCCTGCTTCTCCCTCTGCCTCTCTCTCTGTGTCTCTCTCATGAATAAATTAAAAAAAAAACTTAAAAAAAAAGTCAAATTGCCTCAAGACAAAAAAACAATACACCCAATTTGAGATCTATAAGAAAAGTAAGGAGCAAAAACGGAGGCTGGTTAGACCAGCTTTTAGGTGCAGTTTATAACCCCTTCTGAAACAACAAAGTCTGAATTGAAACAATTCCAGGACCCAGCTCAGCTGCAGAGAGGAAGGAAGGGGAAGGATGCAGAAAATATGGCAGAAAGAAGTCCTACTACATACACATGCTCAGCCTGTCTCCCCAGAGCCTTACTGCTCCAGACCCTGCCACGCAGGCCAAATTACCGACTACAGACTCAAAATTTAGGTAAGATTTTGTCATTTATTTATTTATTGAGATTTTATTTATTTATTTGACAGAGAGAGACACAGAGAGAGAGAGAGGGAACACAGGCAGAGGGAGAGGGAGAAGCAGGCTTCCCGCGGAGCAGGGAGCCCGATGCGGGGCTCGATCCCAGGACCCTGGGATCATGACCTGAGCCGAAGGCAGATGCTTAACCGACTGAGCCACCCAGGCGCCCTACATTTTGTCATTTATGTGTGTTGCCGGAAAGGAGAAGAGGACTCACCAGCCAGTAGCTGGGCAATCACAGCCCAATTCCTTGACACAATGAAACTGCAGGCCTTCTTTTACCCAAGTGCCCTCTTCACAAAGTGAAGGACCTGTGTTCAGCCAGGGAAGAGGGGCCTCATCATACTCAGGAAATGGAAGAGGAGACTTCGTGATACTTAGCAGAAGAGGGCAAGGTGGGCATGGCAGCCCGAGGTCAACACACCTCACGAAGGCTATCGGAAAGGGGACCTACTATTTATCCATTAACATCTGTTAAGGACCCGTCAATCTGTGGAAACCCTTTCTCCAAGTGTAGGGCTGTCTTCCCAAGGAGGGGCTGATCTCTTTGCCACCAGGCTAGTCTCCCACCAGCCAGCAGGCAGTCCTAAGTGTTTGCTTTAGGAAGGGAACTGTGGGGATGGGAAGGAAAGCTGGATGCAAAGAGATTTCCAAGGAGTGAGCATGTGGAGCCAAGGATGCCTTGCCTCTTATTACACAGAGAAAATAAATCCTATTTGAAAAGAACTTCCTTATGCTCCCACTTCCAAATTTAGCGGCTGCCCTGCGTGTACCTAGCCACACTGCCTTCCCTGCTGAAAATCAGTGAGTCGTCCACACAGCTACGGCCACGTCTTGTGCCCCAGACACCCCATCGACCCCTGAGATCGTCTCCTCTCTCTCCTGCAATACCAACATTTCTTGCCCAATTAAATGATTCCTATCACAGGATTAAACAAAACAAAACAACAACTTCTCCATGTTCCTCTCTACCACCAATCCATTTCTTCCTCACCCTCAGAGGTCTCTTGAATTCATTCCTATCAGGTTTTCACCTTTACCATCCACTGAGAGCAACCTTGTCACGGTCACCACTGACCGCCACATGGTCACATCCACGGGTTCTCAGTCACCCTATTGCTTGGCCTCCCCACCGGGTTTGCCAAAGTTGGACCCTGCCCTCCCTCCTGAAACATTTGCTTCACTTGACCTCTGAGAGAACTCATTTTCTTACTCACAGTAGGTTCTTCATTCTCCTTTCCTGGCTTCTCCTCCTCTCCCAGACCTGTAAATACGGGGGTGCTGCAGGACTCAGTAATCAGACTTTTGACTCTTTCCCTATCTACGCTCAATTCCTCGGTGCATTCAGGGCCAGAGCTGTAAATACTATTTACATTCCTTTGTCTATCTAGTCTCATAGCTTTAAGTACCATTTGATATTTTCCAAAGTTGTATTTCCATCCCCATCTTCTTCCCTAAACCCTACATATACACAGCTTCCCACTTGACATCGCCACTTGATTTTAAAAGGCATCACAAACAAAGGACTGAGAAATGACCAATGGAGTTGGCAATGTGGGTAAGCTTGACAAGACTGCTTTCACTGGAGTGGTAGGCTTGAAAGAAAGCCTGATAGAACCGATTCCACTGCAGAGTGTAATCCTACATGCTCCTCATTGATCTTGTAATAATTTACCAAGAAAATTCCCGTGTCAGAGCCTCTGCGAGCTCTTCCTTCTGCCTGGATGGACCATCCTTCCCTCCAGAGTCGTACCTGAAATACCCGCTCTTTCTCCTGAATTCAGATTTCCGTTAAAATGCCAGCTTCTGAGAGATTTTTCTTATCAGCTTATTTAAAATAGCACCTCCCACTCTCTATTCCCTTTTTTTCTTTATTTTCTTCATAGCATTTGTCTGAATGCTATCTGAATATTTCAGTCTCCCTCCTACCTCCCTACACAGACTAGAATATAAGTTCTATGAGGGCAGGGGCTTTGTTTTGTTCACCACTGTACACCCAGCCTCGCAAATCTCTCTGGAACGAATAAATAAGTGACCTTCGTCTCACACTCACAGGGTTACTACCAAGAACGTGCAAGCATATTCAACTTTAAGACCTCCGAATTGACCCTCTGGGATCCAGGAATGTTGTGCATGCCCCCTCGTTAATACCTCTCCTAACTGTCCCCCTCTTAGAAGACATACGGTAGCACTTCCGCCCTCGCTCAAATCTCGGAAAAGGAGGGGCGATGGGTTTATGTCATCATCCTGCGCCCGCCTGCCCCGCGACGTGCCGGCAGCTGGCGCAGCCCTCCGCTCGCCCGGCCTCCCCCTCCCTGGTTCCGCGCTCTGGTTCCGCCATGGAATCCAACAAGGATGAAGCCGAGCGCTGTATTAGCATCGCCCTCAAGGCCATCCAGAGCAACCAGCCTGACCGGGCGCTCCGCTTCCTGGAGAAAGCGCAGCGGCTGTATCCGACGCCGCGAGTTCGCGGTGAGTGTGAAGTGCCGGAGAGACAGAGGGGCCATTAGAACTGATGGGGGGAATACGGGAACGGACCGAGGGGAACAGTTGGAGGGGGGGGAGGGGTAGCGAGGCGCGGCTACGCCTGCGCACTGAGGTGCGCGGTGGCCGCTGGGAGGTGTAGTCTTTCGCTCTCACGCCTCTCCGGGACGCTGGACACCTGATGCCAGGGGCGGCCGCGACTTCAACTTTTTGGGTGCTTGTGGAACCCTCTGAGATTTGGAGTTACCGACGATGAGAGGCGCTGGCGGGCGAGGGGAAGGGAACTTACCTGGAAGCGAAATCGAACTACTTTTCCCAAGGGGCCATTCGGTGGCCCAGGGTCGGTTGCCGGCCTGGGAACTATTATAGTTTAGGAAAATAAACATAACTCCTATGACGGAGAGAATGGGTTCTGGGGAGGGAAAGAGGACTTCTGACCTTCGCACGGCCTGGAAGGGTGTCTTCAAATCTTCACTCCCTAGCACGTCTCCGGGCGAGGGCCAGGGAACACCCTCCCGAAAGTAGAGCCTGCCTTCCCCCCCTCCCCCCGGCTCCACACCACCGCCTTGCACCGGCTGCCCTGATGGCGGGCCCCTCACTTCCTCCTGGAAGCTCTTCACCGGCCTGTGAGATCCGGGGCTTGTTGGAGACGCTGGCCGCAGGCACCTCTCCCACCCTCGCCCACAAGAGTCCCTCAGTGACCCCCGTATGGACGGCTGGACAGCACAAGGCTGCCAAGTGTCCCGGGGCTGGGGCTTCCACGCCAGGGAGGGATTAGCGAGGTTGTCTCAGCTACTCAAGAGGAACCGTCTTTTTCTTTAAACTAAGACTTGAGAGAAGTTTTTCTTAATACAAGCTAGAAGGGAGAAAGAGGTAGTCCAGAGGGGCACCAGGGTGGCTCAGTCGGTTAAGCGTCTGCCTTTGGCTCAAGTCATGATCTCAGGGTCTTGCAGTTGAGCCCTGCATGAGACTCCCTGTTCAGCGGGGAGTCTGCTTCCCCCACTCCCTCTACTCCCTCTCCCCTGCACGTGTTCTCTCTCTCAGTCTCTCAAATAAATAAATAAAATCTTTAAAAAGAGAGACCATTAAAGATACAGGGATCATACCATCAGTTATGATGCAGTAAACCATCTGGTGTGTAACAGGTACTCCCACTCAGTTAACCTGAGTTCTTATCCTGACTGCTACACCATGCGATCTTTCTGAGCTTGGGTTTTCTTAGCTGGAAAATTAGAGGGTTGGTGCCGATAATGTGAGTAACAGTAATACCATAGGGCTTCTCCGTTTAGAACACTCCTTCTAGGGGTGCCTGGCTGGACCAGTCCGCAGAGCACACAACCCTTGATCTCTGGATTGTAAGTTCAAGCCCCAACTTTGATGTAGAGATGACTTAAAAATAATAATAATAAAATAAATCTTTAAAAAAAAAAGGAAGGAAGAAAGAAAGCCCTTTCAAGTGCATTTTCTCCCTTGAGCCTGCCCTATCAGGGAGGCAGAGCAAAGATTTGTTCTGTAGATGAGGAAATATCTCAGAGGCAAGGGACTTGCCCAAGATTACACAGCTAGAAATTGGAAAGTTCTGTGATTCTGTAAATGTTTAATAGAGGAATGAAATGAAAGAGCAGTCAGCCTCCTAACCTTCTTTGCCCACATTTGGAATTGAGAAGGGTGACCACCAGCAGAAGAGATCACCTGGAACGGTCCAGTTTTCCTCCTGACTACAGGTTGATCTTTGGCCTCTGCCTTCTCTTGGAAAGGGTTTCAGTCTGTATTTGCCAGGACTCCTGAGGTAACCTGCTCAAGGAGCTTCCCTAGAGAAATAAATCACACTCTGTAAGAGAGGAGCATGGTGGGATGGGGGCCCGCCAGTCTCAGAATCCTGTTTGATTCTAATGCTTTTGGGGACTCAGGAGCAGGCAGCCAAGAAAGGATGGTAACAACATGGCCTTTGGGGCTCTTTCTGTCAGCAGCCTCCTGGGCTAGTTCGGGGGCTTGGACTGGTGTCCTTCCCGGGGCTCAAGAAATGGAATTTGTTCAGGCAGAATAGTCACCTGCATGATTGTCATATTCCCGCTACTGTGGAGAGACTGTATGCCTCATGCCTCTCTAAACTTCACCTTAAATCATCTGCAGCCCTGTACTGAGCCGACAAGGACCTGGGGTTAATGTAGTGTGGGATGAAGAAGTCTTGGTTAAAAAAAATATTGGGTAGTTTACACTTGCTGTTTGAGGTTTGAGCTCATTCCAGGTGCTTGTTCAATGCTAAGACTTTGTTTTATTTGCAAAGTCCTCTGCTTGGTGCTAAGTGCAGATATGGCAGGATCTGTAAGACATGATCCTTCACCTCAAGCAGCTTATAATCTAGCGAAGGAGACAAAGTTATAGAAAAAATAATACTGTGGTTAAAGAAAAAATTCAGCACACTGTTAGATACCGAGGACTGAAGTTTAGACATGAAAGACCCAGTCTCTTCCCCCCGTGGGTTCACAGTCTGGTGAGCTGGAGCGGAGTGCTGGGGAGGGAGTGCTGAACTCTGAACTACCAGCAGTCTAGTGAGACTTAAAAATAATGGTAAAACACAGGTGATGGAAAATAGTGGTTGATCACAGTGAGGGAAAGCTTCAGGGAGGAAGACAGGCAGCATTTGAATTGCACTTTGGAGGAAGGGAACAGACTTGGAGAAGGACATACTGGGGAAGACATGGAGGCTGGAAGGTGTGAGGTTTGGGGGAGAGGATTGGGTGTAGCAAGATTTGGCAGCTGTGGAGGTGGTAATTTGAGTATAGAGAGATTGAAGGCTGGAAAGTAGGATGGGGCCAGATTGTGGAAATCCTTTCCTGCCAGACCAGGGTATTCATTTTATTCTGTAGTTGGTGAAAAGACCATTGAAGATTCTGATAGCAGGAATAAGGTAAGTGTACTCTTCTTAAAAGAGAACAGCATGAAGGGTTAATGAGAGGGAAGAGAGAGAGAGTTAGAAACCAACTGGGAGACCATTCACTGCAGTGACTAGGTCAGGAGCTCTGAGCGCCTGAGATAAGACATTCCCCAGCTGAGGATAAGGTCATTGGAGAGGCGGCACCACGCCTTGTGTGAGAGAGGTATGCTGAGGAGAAACGGGGACACAGAATCCAAGCCTGTGTCCCCGGGGGGGGAAAGCAAGGTTGAGGATGGTGGGTGGGAAGAGATGGGCAGAGTGCAAGGTGCCAGTGGCTGTTCCAAAGGAGCTGTCAGCGTGGAGCTCAGGAGAGAGCCCCATGTTCCAGCTGAAAGTCTGGTTGTCAGTTTGAAGGTGCTCACTGGAGTCAGGCCTGGCTGGGGTCACTGTGGGAAAGTGTCGAACACGCAGAGGAGGTTGCTGCAGGCACCACCACGGGCCACATCTGCCCTTAGCAAACGGGCAGAGACTGGGGAAGCAACAGAGTGAGATGGAGCGACAACAGGAAGAGGCGATCCCAGGAACGAGAGCAGCCAGGTGGCCATGGAGTGGAGTGTCGGGGAGGTGGTGAGCAACATGATCAGGCCTAATGGGAAAAGGGCAAGTCAAGAAGGATCAAGAGCATGGGTAGAAGATTGGTCTAGGAGAAGTGGAAGGACAGACAGAGGGAAAGGTTAGGGTGAGAGGAGACTCAGAGCAACGTTGAAGGGTCGAGGGACCTCACAGTGAAAAGGCTATGCTGCAGGACGTGGGACCAATGGCTGGACACTTGTACTGTGGAGTAGTAGCAGGGCCCTGAGCTGGGAAGTCCTAGGGCAGGGCTAGTGGGGGCGGTCAGTCCCCTTCTGGGAGTTTCTATCCAGCAACTGGCAGCCCTCTGGGCATGGCCTCTGCCTGAGGCTTGCAACAATGGTGGAAAGTACCGGATTTTTCAGGGAGCCGATGAGAACATCCTCAGTTTCCCCAGCACACACACAGAGAGGGTTATCCTGGACGATCTTGCAGCTCAGGCTGCTTGAGGGTCCTGGGGAAGTCAGGAAGGCCACGCTGGAAAGGCCAGCGGGTGGGGGAGGGATTTTGTTTTCAGAGTGTCAGAGTGAGAGATGGTGATGTACTGGTGAGGTCCAGGGTGGGGTCCTGGGGTTTCTCTCACTCCAGAGAAACTGACTGCAGGTCAGTCAGCCTTCCTGAGCCCTACTGTGCACTCAGCCCTTCCGTTCACCGAATCTTATCCACGCCTCCAAGCAGCCCTGTGAGGGCAGAGACCACGCCTTCACTGGTGGATTCGCTAACATGGCTCATCAGCAAAGGAGCCACACTGTCCAGGCCTGCTCCCAGGCTGCTGCCCTACGCTGGCCTCCCTTTCCCGACTCACTTTGAGCACTACAGTTACACAGAGAGAGCCTGGAAATAAAACGAGCAGTAACAGAGAACACTTAATGTTTGCTGAGTGTTGTGCTGAGTCCTTTACATGCATTTGCTCGTCTGCTCTTTCAACTCCCTTGAGGGAGATCCAGTTTTACATGAAGAAGCTAAATTGACTTGTCCAAGATGACCTTGCTAGCAAGCGGCAGAGCCGGCCCTGAACCCAGCCAGCCTCACCCTCCAGTCTGGCTTTGAGGAGGGGCCACCACTGGGGGCTAGGACCATACAAGTGCTCTCACTTCTCCCACTGCAGCTCTCGTTTCTTCCACCAGGTCCCTGTCTCTTTAGATGTCTCCCAGCTGTACTGCAAGGGCAGAGGCAGGGTTTGAACCCAACCTCGTCTGACTCCAGAATCGTCATGTTAGGCGGTTCTGTGTCATACTCGTTTGCGACATTTGCGAGGCAGTCACATCCCGCAGGTCTGGCGGAGGCAGTGTCCAGGCCAGGAGGGAGACCTGCTTGGCAGCAACCAGAAATCTTGATTTGCCAACTCAAGCAGGAGCCTTCTGTGTGGCCCAGAGCACATCCATTCCCCCCTTTGGGCTCCCTTTCTGCAGTGTAAGGAAATTCGAGTGGCTGACTCCATGTAACTACCCTGAAAAGTTTCCAGAATCTTCCCTGAGGAATACTAGAGCGCGTCCATCCCACCCCCTGGCTGATGCTCCTATGTATCTATCTGTAGCAGTTGAATGGTTGGTCGTGTTGTCCTTAGGGTGTGTTAGCTCAGCGTGGACCACTGAGGCTTCCAGAGAAACTGAAGTAAGTTCTTGAAATGCCCTCCCAACCCAGCAAACTGGCTCCTCCCTCTGTCCCATCTTCATCAGCATCTCTTCATCTTTTGTTCTCTTTGTTTGCCTGGCATGGACCTGGCATCTGGGACAGTCTGAAATCTCATGGTTCTGGCTGGGTCCAAAGCCTGCTGAGTGCTGACACTTTGCCTTCCTAAGCCCTGGAGCTCCCTGGCCCCACCTGCTCGGGTCCCCTCCCCGGCCAGCCAGTTCATCAGCCTGTGTCATAATATCAGCAGCTACTCATTTTGAACTTTCACTCTGTGCCAGGTGCTTACACGTTATCTCATTTCATCCTCATACACCCCATTAGCCATGGATCCCCTAGGAAACTGAGGTTCAGACAGATTGTCTATTTTTTATCGGCCAGGGCCATACTGCTAGGACGTGACTGAGCTGAGATTTGAACCCAGGTCTTTCTGAATTTAACTTCTCTATTTGGAACGACTGTGCTGGAAAGGGTTCCCCATGCCCAATGCCAGACTCAGGCAGTCCGGGCTAGCATAGTTCAGAACAAGGTTCTGGGAGCTGGGCATCCAGGCATTAAGTGCTACCTCCCAGCTTATGTAGCCATGGGCCACTGGATCACACACACGGCTCTTTTTTATAATGGGGATGGTGGTAGTGAGACCAACCTCTAAGGCCATTGTTCAGATTAAGTGAACTAGTACACGCAGAGCACCGTGTCCGGGCCTGCCTAGCACACGGTGAGCGCTCGGCACGCCCTCCCGGGCTTGCCTCCTTCATGCGAGGCAGGCTTGACCGACAGCTCCTTTCTGAGGGAGGCCACCTCAAACAGCAGCAGCTCAGGGTACAGTGTCCCACTCAAGTCCCAGGGTTCTGCTCCCAGCAAGCCCTGCCCCTGGCCCCTTGTGTGAGGCGCAGGTATGTTGCTTTAGAGGGTGTCTGACACCCAACACGGTGCATTGAGCCCAGAAGGCTCCTGGCATGTTGGAAAGAAACTGGGGACCAGCCGGAGGCAGTGCTGTCCTTCCTCAGCACAGTGTCCTGGGTCCCTGCAGTAGTCCAGGTGCCTGGCTTCCCAGGGCACTGTACCCCAGGCATGACCAGGGTTTCCAGAACTAGTTGTGTGCCTGGAATAAATGGGCACAGGGAACTTTGGCCAGAGATTCGGGCTCTTCCTGATTGAGTAGCAGAAACCGTGGAGTTGGGTTTGAGTCACTGGGACCCTGTCTGAGGGTGACAGCTGATGTCCTACTTAGACTCTGAACACTGAAGTAGGATGTTTGACATGGCAGCCACTCGAAACGTGTGAAGAATAGCAAGTAGCAGAGGCTGTCTTTATCCTGGGTCTCCTACCATGTCTGGCCCTCTGGGGCAAATTCCTTGCCTCCATTCCCCCTCACAGCTAAGTAAAAACCTCCAGGAGGCCTTTCCCGCCAATCCCGGCTGAAACAGGTGGTCCTGCTAAGTGGGGTCTCCTTTGAGATGGGCAGAGCACTTTGCCCATCTCAACAGAGTCTGTTAAACACACTTCTTTGGGGGGGCACCTTGGTGGCTCAGTCGGTTAAGCATCTGCCTTCGGCTCACGTCATAATCCCAGGGTCCTGGGATCGAGCCCTACATTGGGCTCCCTGCTCAGCGGGGAGTCTGCTTCCCCCTCCCTCTCTGCCTGCCACTCCCACTGCCTCATGTGCTCTCTCTCATGCTCTTTCTCAAATAAATAAATCTTTTTAAAAATAAATAAGCACACTACTTTGGGATTTTTAAAACCTGAAGGGTTTGTGGTATGTTTTTATGCAGAGTTTTAAGTTAACCTATACCCAGGAGTGCCTGGCTGGCTCAGTCTGTAGAGCATGCAACTCTTGATCTCGGGGTTGTGAGTTTGAGCCCCACGTTGGGTGTAGAGATTACTTAAAAAGAAAATCCTAGGGGCGCCTGGGTGGCTCAGTCGTTAGGCGTCTGCCTTCGGCTCAGGTCATGATCCCAGGGTCCTGGGATCGAGCCCCACATCAGGCTCCCTGCTCCACGGGAAGCCTGCTTCTCCCTCTCCCACTCCCCCTGCTTGTGTTCCCTCTCTCACTGTCTCTCTCTGTCAAATAAATAATTAAAAAAAAAAAAATCCTAAAAAAAAAAAAGGTTTAAAATAACCCCTACCCTGACAACTGCTGAGATCTGTGGATCCTGTAGGCGGCTATCCCACTAGTGCGCACCGCCCCCCTCCCAGCCCTAGCCCAGGCCCAAGTCAGGGAGGGAGCTAGTGGCTTTGCTGGGAGAAGAAGCAGGTGGGATGCGGGGTGGGGGCGGGGTCCTGGCCTCTCCCAGGACCAGGCAGCCCCTCAGCTATGGCACGTGGCCTTGCTGGAGCAGGAGCCCTGAATGCTTTGCTTGCCTCGCACAGCCCTGATTGAGTCCCTCAACCAGAAACCACAGTCTGCCGGTGACCATCCCCAACCCACAGACGCGACCCACAGGAAAGCAGGTGGGGCCGATGCCCCCTCGGCCAACGGAGAAGCTGGAGGAGGAGAGAGCACTAAAGGCTACACTGCAGAGCAAGTAGCAGCAGTAAAAAGGTAGAGGGGCTGGAGCCTGGTGCTGCTGGGAAGTTTCCAGATCTAGAGCAGGCTTCCTGCAGCCTGTCCTCCACGTCACATCTGCCTGTGGTCTGGGTGGGCCCTGGGAGGGTCCTGAGGATGGACGAGCTCCAGCTGAGCCGGCTCACCAGGCCCCAGAATACAGTGTGGGAATCAGGGCTCTGCTGTCCCCTCCCACCACGACAACCCACGGCGGGGGCTGGAAGTGCTAACTCCGCCGCGGCTGGCTTCCTGTGCTGCCGGCCGGCCAGCGAGCCCCGGCTCTTTACACGGCTCTGCTTATCAGAGATGGGGCTCGGGCTCCCCTTTCAGCTTCTCCCCCGCCCCCAACAAAGACCCTTTCAGACCAGAGCCTGTGTGGCACAGAATGGAGACAGGAAACGGTTATCCCTCCAGGGCTTGGGCAGGCCCTGCACAGACACTGACAGTCCTGAGGTGGCCTCCGGTGAGGGTGCTGTTAGCAAAGGGAAATGGTTCCTGGCCTGAAACACAGCAGCTGCCCCCTCGGAAATCCCAGATGTATTCTGGGTGTTTTCCCCTGGGCCCTACCTGACTCCCCATCCCAGGTGGAGCTTACTGAGGCTCCCTTGTCCCCGAGGTCTGACAGCTGACCTAGAGTTGCTGTCAGCCGTGCCCTGCTGGTCCCCCTGAGCCTGCTCAGAGCTGTGTGCCCACACTCGTTTCTTGCTGCCCTCACCTCACGGCCCTGGGCCCACTCTACCCCTTCCCCCAGGGTCAAGCAGTGTAAAGATTACTATGAGATCCTGGGGGTGAGCAGAGGGGCCTCCGATGAGGACCTGAAGAAGGCCTACCGCAAGCTGGCCCTCAAGTTCCACCCAGACAAGAACCACGCCCCTGGTGCCACTGAAGCTTTCAAAGGTAAGCGAGCCTTGGTTCCCTGCTGTTTGGTGTTTTTATCTCCTGCCCTTCGGAAGGAATAAGAGGCCAAGACAATCTTTCCAGGAAGTGGCCTTGGACCCAAGTCCCCTGGGCTCAGGAGCTGCTTCCTGGAAAGAAAGTCCTGGTAGCCACCTCCAGCCTGTCGGAGTCTGTCAGAGCTCCGATGGCACCAACCCTGCCTCTCCTTCCTCCAAGTTCCCCAGGAATGACAGGAGGGGAGCTGAGGACCAGTGGCTTCACGGTGGCATAGCGACTGAGGGGCAGAAGGAGGCCTCCTAGGTTCACCCATATGCACATCCCCATCTTGGGATCTTGGTAACAGTTTCCCTGTGCTGAGGGGCAGAGTAGCCTCAGGTCCGTGGCCTAGTGGCCTCCTCATCTCCAGCAGCCAGCCCTGCGCTACACACGTACTCACGTGAGGCAGTGACCACAGCCAAGAGGGGAGCCTTTGGCGGAGCAGATGGCAGAGCAGACCCCTGAGACCCGCTGTGCTGTCTCCCAGGCCCAGCCTTGTTACTCCATTCCAGGCTGCTTAGGGTCCATCCTGCTTGGGTGGGGGTAGTCTGAAGGCATCATCCCCGTCAGCCAGCCCCAGGGGGAGAAGGTCAATAGGAGGGGGTAGGCAAGGTAGCCATGGCTGACGTCGCTCCAGCCCTGCCTTCTGCCTGCAGCCTGCACGACAGACGCCGAGAGGCCAGACCTAGCCCGGCTGCCGGGGATGGCGGGGGTTACGGATGCCCTCGTGGCGATGGCAAGAGGAGGGGATCCTCCTTATTCTCAAGGTTTGCAGGTTGCAGATGCAGCTCTGACCCGCTCCTTTGAGAGAGTGAGCCGCTTGAGAAGGAGCAAGAGACTAAGGAGGGCCTGGAGCTGGGTCCTTTGAGGCACAGGTTTCCTGCCTAGGGAGCCCTAATGGGGAGGCCTTGGGGCCAGGCCAGGGAACAGATGCTGGGACCTGGACCCCCGGGAGGAGAGGGCTCGCCAAGCCACACTACCGGCAGTGGAGAGGTTTTGACTACAACCTGGTGATTGGGCCTTTCCCGGCAGTTGCTGTAGGAGTAAGTAAGATAAGGCCCATAAAGGGCCTGGGGCATAGAAAAATCTGTCCAGACTGCCTAGATCCACTCAGAATTATTCCTGCCTGCCCCGCTCCCTACACGTGCCCAACAGCCAAACTTCTGCTGGCCCCAGGGACTCCCACTTCCTAAAGCACCACTTGCGTACCTAAAGGAAGGGAGCTCTTGGCTGCCATCATGGGAGCCTCCCCCTGCGTGCCCCATGTCTTCAAGCCTGACTTAAACCTCCTTTCTAGCCATTGGCACAGCATATGCGGTACTTAGTAACCCGGAGAAAAGGAAGCAGTATGACCAGTTCGGTGATGACAAGAGCCAGGCAGCCCGGCACGGCCATGGGCATGGGGACTTCCACCGTGGCTTTGAGGCGGACATCTCCCCTGAGGACCTCTTCAACATGTTCTTTGGTGGTGGCTTCCCGTCTAGTAAGTACCCCGCCCTCCCCACAGGCCTCCCTGGGGTGATGGTGGAAGACTGGATGCCAGCCCCCCACTTCCCAGCAGTCCCGCCCCCTGACTCAGTCCCTCTGATCTCCAGGTAATGTCCACGTCTACAGCAACGGCCGCATGCGCTATACCTACCAGCAAAGGCAGGACCGCAGGGAGAACCAGGGTGACGTGAGTGAGGAGGGCACCGGGGAGAGCAGGGGAGGGTGCCAGGCCCCACCCAGGGTGCAGGGCCTGAAGGGGAAGTGACATCCCCAGCTGTCCATTCTGGGAGGGCATTGCCCCCACCATTCTCAGCTGAGGAGCCATCTTGGGCCCCCCCCCTTGCCATTCTGCGAGCGACGCCAGAGGGAGCCACACTCCGCAGTGCTGCCCAGGAGGGGTGGGGCTTTGATGGCCTCTGTTAGGGAATGTCATGCAGAAACTTCTCCACCTACGGACAGGGTTGAGTGTGAATGGCCTTTGTGCAGTCCATTTGTTCATAAGGCCACAGTGGCATTTTCTAAGCGATGGGAAGTGAAACTTCACAAGAGAATTGTAAAGGGTGACAGAGGTTGTTGACTCTTGTTTCTTTCCAGCACTCTTAAAAAATGTACACAAAAACTATAACCAGACAGTGCTTCGAAAGCATTTTGAATGCCACAGGTTAAGGAACAGCTAGCTGACCAACATTAAGATACCGTGGACGATTCCAGAGCATTGAAAATTGTGGCAGGTGGAGGGGGTCGCCTACGTTCGGTCATTGTGGCCTTATGTTTTTATTTATTCATTTTTTTAAATCGTGTGTATGTGTGTATTAAACATACAGAAGAGTTTTTAAAATCACAAATTATCACACGGTGAACAAATGTGTTTTTACTTACAATTTTGTAACTGGCGATTTTGGAATCGGTTATGTAGTAAAAACTTCCCTCCTGCCCTGCCTGCCAGTGTCCTGGAGGCAGCTGCTCTTGCTCGTGTTTTTGGTACCGTCTGACAAGCAGACACTTGCAGGTACCCTGTTCCTCTGTGTAACACCAGTTGCCGTTTTGTGTTCATCTAGGGGAGCTGGCAGGTGGAGGAGCATCTGTATTTCGGGGGCCCTGGGGGTGGGGTGGGGCGAGAGTCGTGTCGTGGCCTGTTTATATGGCGGCTGCGCCTCGTGCCGCCCGGGAAGCCGGTGGTGACTGCGGCCGCCGCGGAGCGCCCACCCACAGCCAGCTTGGGTGACCACTGGCCCTTCCCTCCAGGGCGGGCTGGGGGTCTTTGTGCAGCTGCTGCCCATCCTCATCCTGATCGTCGTGTCGGCGCTCAGCCAGCTCATGGTCTCCAGCCCTCCATACAGCCTGAGTCCACGGCCGTGAGTACTTGCGCCTAGGGATGGGACTGGGGTGCTGGGCCGACAGGGACTTGGGGTTCTCAGCCCCCATCAGCGGCCTTCCTTCCCATCCTGTGCATCCTTGATCACAGTGCAGAAATCTGGCTTAGAATCCAGAAAACACACTTTCCCTGTTGAGCTTAGGTTCTTGATCTTTTAGGATCACGGTCCCCTAAGAAAATGGAGTGAAAACTGAAGATCTTTTCCCTCGAACACTGCACATGCACACAGTTTTGCACACGATTTCACAGGCTTCATGCCCCCCCCCCCCCAATCTGCTGATCTTGAGAGAAGAACCTCTGCTCTTAAGTTCTGGTTGGGGGCCTTGGGGCCATGGAAAGAATAGGGACTGTAAAATCAAACAGAGCAAAGGTGGCTTTGAATCCCAGCTACTCTATTAACTAAGCAGCTGTGTGACCCTGGACAAGGGTCTGGGCTTTGGTTTCCTCATCTATACAGTGGGAATAACAACATCTATCTGCTTGTGAAAAACAAATGAGTAGTACACATAAAATGCCAGGCTCAGGGCACCCGGCTGGCTCATTCGGTGGAGCGTGCAACTCTTGACCTCGGGGTCTTGAGTTCGAGCCTCATGTTGTGTATAGAGATTACCTTAAAAGAAATAAGCAAAATGTTTGTTAAAAAATGCCAGACTTGTCAGAAATGTTCCCCCGTATTTGTTGAATGAATATATGGTCTCAGCTGCCAGTAGTGAACTAGGGCAAGTTATTTGGCCTTTTAAGGTATCAGCTCCCCTCGTTTATTTCCAGCCCCTGGCACCATATCTGATGCATAGTTATAGAGTGGGTGCTCAGCTCCTATTGGTGGGAGCTCTGTGCTCCCAAAGCAGCCTGGCCCCGCCTGGGAGCCTGGCGGCCTTCCTCTCGGCCAGCAGGGGGCAGAGTCGGGCTGCTGGGCCCATCCAGGCGGCCCAGGCTCTCTTGAGGCCTGTTGCCAGCCAGCCCTTTGCTCTGCAGCTGCAGAGGCAACAGGGGGCAGGTAGGGGCTGTCCTCCCCCCAGCACTGTCTTCTGTTTGTGTGTCGAGGCTCTTCCCACAGCCTGCAGAGCCCTCTCGGTCTCTAGGACCGAGAGCTGGAAGACCACAGCTCCTCGGAGTCCTTCTGTCATGTTGTTTCTAAGCCTCTGAACTCCAGACTGAGAGTTCCCGGGTAGGCAGGCAGGCCCTGGGCAACAATCGGCTTAGGGGAGTAATGCCGAGATAGGAGGCACAAGGAGCCCGACTCACACCCCTAATCAGGAGCCGAGCCCAGCCTCCCTTCCTGCGCCGACCAGGGCCTCTCAAAAAGGGGCTTCTCCCCACAGGCCGCAGGTCAGCAGTGTGGTAAGCAGGGCTGGCCATAGTCTGGACCCCTTGCATGGGAGGGACACTCTGCCAGTTCTTCAGACCCTCATTTTGCGTGTTGTACGAGTCCCCGCTCTGGTTAGGAAGGAAGCAAGTCCTCCTGTTGGGGGGCCCTGTTGTCCCTTAGAGCTGCCCTGGGCCTGGGCGCTGGTGCCCACTTTGTGCCTGATGTATTTCCGGCCAGGTCGGTGGGCCATGTCCACAGGCGAGTCACTGACCACCTGAATGTCGTCTACTACGTGGCAGACACCTTCTCTAAGGAGTACACGGGCTCCAGCCTCAAAACAGTTGAACGGAATGTGGAAGACGATTACATCGCCAACCTCCGAAACAACTGCTGGAAGGAGAAGCAGCAGAGTGAGTGTGTGTGGGTCACAGGCCAAAGCTTGAGAGCAGGGAAGAGAGAACTCTGCCCACCAGGGATTTGTGGACCCAGCACCAGGCACGGCCTTGTACCAGCCACCTCCTGGTCCAGAGCGGGACCCCACCCCTGGTTACGTGGGGCTGGGAGCCAGGGGCTACCTAGAGATCTCCACGTTCCCGTAAATCATGGCCATCAGCCTGAGTTTGGCTGCCAGAGGTAAGGATGTCGAGATAGGCCGGAGCATGTGTCCTGGCTGCCAAGTGATCAGGCATCCAGCTCAGTTTGTGGGACCCCAGCGCGGTCGAGCCAGGATGACCGCTTCTTTCCTTCTCACAACTGGGACCATAGTCTTTGCTCTCCAGGGTCTTTCCTGAAGAGAGGCCAGCTCTGCCGCAGCTCCAGGGCCTGTGACAGCCTTTCTCCCACTCCCACAGGCTGGGCAGGTGCTCTAGTAGCCTTTGGGAGACTCCAGGTGCACCCTAACTCTGCCCCGTTGCTTTGCAGAGGAAGGCTTGCTATACCGGGCCCGCTACTTCGGTGACACGGATATGTACCACAAGGCGCAGAGGATGGGCACCCCGAGCTGTAACCGACTGTCAGAGGTGCAGGCCTCCCTGCATGGATAGTCCCGGGCCAGCCACGCCACGGAGGTCCAAGTATGAGCCAGGGCCTCTGCCCTGCAACTCTTGGCAGCTCTGGCCCTGGTCATGAGGCAGAGGAGGGCGGGAGGGCGAGAGGGGAATGGCCTGTTGATTAGGGCACAGACTCCTTGTCCCCAGCCTGACCTCCAGCCTGCAGAGCTGGGGCAGCTCCAGGGTATGCTCAGGCCTCTCACGCTCCTGTGTACCCTGCGCCCAACTCCCTGGCCCTGGGAACGTGGGGAGCCCAAGAGCCAGGCAGAAGGGGGAATTGAAGGCCACTGCTAAGGGCCATGTGTGTTTCCCTGGTCTCATCCAGCCCCCAAGTCACCACAGCCCTTTCCCAAGTACAACAGACTACTATCTGTTTAGGCCACCAAGTACTTCTGGTCCCAGGATAGCCCCCCCACCCCCCCCCCACACACCCTCCCCATCTGACATCAGGAAGAAACCCATGAGAATGGGTGGGCCAAGATCCCGTGCTCTTGCTCTGGCCTTCCAGGCAGGAGGAAATGGAACAGGATGGATAGGCAGCCCCACAGTGGGCCGGGGAGGGAGCCAACATGCTGGGAGCAGGAGAGGCCTGTGTACCCTGACCCCTTGCCCTCTGGTGGAATCCAAGGCGCTCTCTCAAGTGCTAGTGCACCCGCAGCCTGGAGGCATTTCGGCCTGCCCTGGGCGCGTCTCACCTGTGGTCTAGGGGAGAGAGCAGACGGCATGAGTTGAGGGTCGAAGGCAGAGCCTTTAGTACAGAAGGGGTGGGGAAAAAATGCCAAGTCACTGGTCACAGGCTTCCGCCTCCTTTGCCCCTGCATGTGGGTAGCGAGCTCGGCTCCCAGCGCTTGCCGGAGGGGACAGACTGGACCGAGCCCAGAGAGCGGAGCAGAGCTGGCGAAGGTGCTTCTCTGTGTCGGTACCTGCCCGTCCGTCCTCTGCCTGTGCCCCCCCCTTGGCAAGGGTCCAGCCCCAGACGCTGTGCTTGGAGGCCATCTGCTAGCACCTCCGGGAGAGTGACAGAGCGCAGGAGGGAGACCGGTTGGGGCCGAGGTGGGCAGGACGGCAGCCGGGGGTCGGCTTGTTTGTGCAGGCTGAGCTGGCGGCTCCAGGCCCTGGGACTGCTGAGCTAACTGTTCCCACTCTCCTCCCCAGACCATGAAATCCCTGGAGAATTTTTGGTGACATGCACTGAGCCAAGGTGATGGACTGTGTATTTAAGGAAAGACATAAAAAGAAAAAAAAATTAAAATGGAATTGGAGGCCGAGCGCCGCCCAGCTGCCCTCTCTCTCACCCAGTAAATGCTGAAAGCTCTTAGGACAGGAAAACCTGCCGCGGGGCTGCTTCCCTTCCTCCCCGGGCTGGCAGAGGCTCCACTTCGGCTCTCTCCTAGGATACGGAAACCATGGCAACGAAAGTAGAATGTAAAACTTGGAGCAAACGGCTGTGGAAAGGGCTGGGGGAGGGGCCGCCCAACTGCCTTCCTCCCCCTCCTGGGAACCCCCACCGGTCACCTCTCTGTGGAAGCCAGTCAGAGGCGTTGGCCAAGGATAGGAGGAGGAGGGGCGAGAACTCTCCATAGAATGTGATTTATAGAGCAAGTATAAGTGTGTGTGTGTGTATATATATATATATCTATTTATATGTAAATAGCATATTTAAAGATATATATATATATATATATAGTCTGCTTTTTAAACTATGCAGGGATTTGGTTAAGTTATTTAGCTGATTTCTTCCCTGTTTTAGAAAACAAGGCCTGTGTGGGGAAGGTAACTTGGTCCTTCAGAGGCTAAACATTGGCCATAGCTGACAGCCTGAGGGGCAGTCGGGTCGCAGGTTTTCACGCTCCCCTCAGCCCCAGCCTGCTTTTGATGGCAGCGGTAATCATGATAGTGTAAGTGTAGAGAACTCAGAGGTTGCCAGGGTTACGATGAAGCTGGAGGGGAGCAGGCTTTCAGAGGAGAAAGTGCCCCTGGGGCCAGGTGCCCTGTCAGGATCCAGTCATAGTGGAGGCCGCCCCCCCAGGCCGCCTGCGGGTGTGAGACCACCCGCCACAAGCTTTGGTCAGCTCAGGTGGGCTATTGGGCCTGGGGCCCAGGAGCCCTCTGCCCCCCCCCCCCGCCCCGCCGCAGAGAGCAGGGTTAGAGGGGGACCAAGTTCTGCCTGGCCGCCCCCCCCTCAGTCCCAAAGTGGTTTTTGCCTTATAGATGCCCCAGGGCACAGCTCCGAGTTGTGGCTGCTGGTTTTTCCCAAGTCAGGCACCAAGGACTCCAGACGGTTCTTCCTCCAAGAGTCAGCCAGATGATGCCCAAGACCCTGGGGGCAGCAGCCGACTCCTGAAGAAAGTCTGGGCCTGTGGTTACCTCTGTCTCCACCATCCACGGACGTGATGCCACTCGGCCGTCTGTTGCACTTTGGACAAAGGCTGCACCCGAACCAGAAGGGTTTTCTACTCACCTTGAAGTGAGGATTTTTCTCACAACAGCAGTTGCTGCCAGGGGAAGGGAGGGAGGTTTTATTTATTCCCACAGTTTATACTGGGCCTTCTGGAATTACCGTTCTTCCCAAATTTTCCTCTGGCAGTGGGTGTGTCCTGGAGCCTGCCACCTTCCAAAGCCTTACTTCCCCGGGCTGCCAGCCAGGAGGTGATAACCATCCTCCCTGAGTTTCTCTTGGCTCTTTTTTTTTTTTTTAAGTCCCCCCCCCCAACTGAATTAAGATTCTTGCTGGGAAAGGAAGCTTGGTAAAGAAGTGTCAGGTCTGATTTTTGAATGAGATCCTACCCTGTGACGCGGCAGCCACCCCGGCCCAGAGAGACGATAAGAACTGGACGTGGGCAAGAGCGCCCCGCCCATGGTGGCCCTGGTGCTCTGCCGCCACCACCCCTACCATCTGGTCTTGGTAGACGTCCCCAGGTGGGCTGACCCATGTGCAATAAGAACATAGATCCTAAAGGATCCCCTGAGAAGCTGTATTTCTTGAATTAGAATTCTACAATTGTACATCTATAAATAAATGTTTATTATGTGATTGGCCTCGGTGGGTCTGCATTGAGTAGGGGGGCTGAGGTGGGGTGCAAACACCTCTTCCTACTGACACAGCCCAGCCCACACCACCGGCAGCCTTGGGTGACCAGCCCCAGTGTCGCCCTCACCCCCTGCCCCAACTGACGGCCACTTCGGTCACGAGTATTCTTCCAAGTCTGACTCCAGGCACAGGGTACGGAGCTCAGGCCAGGCTCCTGGGGTCCCTCGGAACCTCTGCTTCCCCTGCTCCTGCTCCTTCTCTCCATCCCTGCTGTGAGCAAAACAGCATCTTCCCTCCTCCCCAGCTGGGAGCTAGAGCCCACTCCGGATCCAGAGCAGGGGGAAGGTTCGAGTTTCTTTCCATCTCTGGCTGCACAGTCCTCCCCAGACATACTTCCCACACCACCCTACAGCCCGCCCTCCTCCCCTAGAAGGTCGGAAAAGTTAAAAATGTGACAGCCCGAGGACAGCTTTCTGTGAATGGAGCCGCAGATCTGCCGGGACCTCCCAGAGACAGGGCCCCGCGGCCCTGACTGGCGGCCTAAGGCCCCTCCCGCTGCCGCTCCAGCCAAAGACAGCCAGGCTGCCCGGTGGTGCCACTGCAGCTGGGGAGCTCATTGGCTGTCCCTGCCCGGGGTCACCCCCGCCGACCCTGCCCGGTCTGCGAGCTACCACTTGTTAGCTGCAGTTGGCAGAGGCATCGCCGGCCGCCCCCATTCACTCCTCCCATCCCCCTACCCTCAGCGGGCAGCTCAGCAGGCCAGAAGGGGCGGGACAGACTCTGTCCCACTGTTGGCTGCAAAAAAGTCTTTGACAAGTGTCCCCACCCACTGTCAGGTGGCAAAAAACGAGCCACTAGTTCCTCCAAGCTCCCAGGATCTGCCAGCTTATTTTCTCGTCCCCAGCCGCCCCCAGGCCTCCAGAAGGGAACTGCTCCATGGGGCAAGGAGCACACACCCTGGCCCACCAGAATCTCCTCCTTGCCCCTGGCTCCCCAGGCAAAGTCACCCGACTGTCTAGGGCAGGCACCCAGACCGCAGTGCCAAGACTCAGGTAAACAGACTGTTGACACAGTGTCGGTTCTGGAGCAACTCAGAATCCTTCCCAGATGTCACACCTTGTGATTTGGGCGAGTCAGCGCATTTCCCACAACAGGAAACCGAAGCTTGGGGGGGAAGGGAAGGTGATGCCCAAGGGTCCCCATGAAATTTGCATGGCCTCGGGGTCTGTAGCAAAGCAATCATTCTGCAAACATTTGCTAAACTTGGATTCACTGTACTCAAGATTAACCCCACTCGTTAATCTTGGTGAGTGGTGGGAGGCCTGTCCAGAAGGGCAGAAAAGGGAAAAAGCCACACTAGGGAAAACAGAACTTAATCTGAGGAGCAGGTGCACCCTCTCCTGCAATTACACGTGTCCACCCCACTGGGCCAGCAGCTTCCCTGAGTTGACATCACCCCTAGGAGACAACATAGATCAGTTAGGTGTTGGGTATCAGTGTGGACCCCGCAGCCCAGCTGCCTGGGCTGGATCATTTCCTAGCTGGGTGGCCCTGGGCAGGTCACTTAACTCCCCTCTGCCTCAGTTTCCTCATCTTCAAAACGAGAGTCATAAAACCACCTACCTCATTGGGTTACTGTGGGGAGTAAAAGCGTTGTCACATATACAGCACTTAAAAGGCATCTGGGACACAGGAAGCTCTAAGTCCTGTTACGTGTCCTCAGTTGACAAAGATAACAAAGATTAATAGCGGTGGCTCAAGGCCCATTGCAGGCCCTGAACCTACAGAAGTGGCAGCCGGGCAGGGGGAGAAGCCGCCTTTGACAGAGCCCAGAGGGCGGGGCACAGTGATGGAAAGGAAGCTGGGAGTGTGGCAGGTGTGAGCAGCTCCAGCAGGGGGGTCTGGGTAAAGGAACTGGCACCTGTGAAGGAGGGGGGAGTCCAGCAGGGCTGGGGGCAGAGTGGGTATCCAGCTAGAAGGGACAGTCGTGAGCAAAGTCCCGGAGCTGGGGAGGCACGGAAGTGACCACATTCAAGGGTGCTGGGCCCTGCCCTCGGGGGAGGTTGATGGGCACAAGCAAACCCTAAAAGGCTGGCCACCAGGGAGGCAGGTGGTGGAAGGAAAGCTGGAGACCTAGGGTGTGCGCACTGTCACCCCGTCCCCCAGCCTCTCATGGGGGGCTGTTTCACCGGGAACAAGGCCTAGGCCTCCTGTAGCTTGTATCGCCCCACAGCTGTTTGGGTAGGTAATAAAGGTCCAGGACCCAGACACAACAAAGGGTGTGAGAGGGCGCCTGGGTGGCTCAGTTGGTTGGGCGACTGCCTTCGGCTCAGGTCATAATCCTGGAGTCCCGGGATCGAGTCCCGCATCGGGTTCCCTGCTTGGCGGGGAGTCTGCTTCTCCCTCTGACCCTCTTCCCTCTCTCATGTGCTCTCTCTCTCTCTCTCTCATTCTCTCCCTCAAATAAATAAATAACATCTTAAAAAAAAAAAAAGGTGTGAGAAAGGCACCCTACTCTCTAGGACCCGCGTGACCAAGCAGCCCCCCTAGCGCCCAAGAGTTGGGGCTTGGCTTGGAAGGAGAGTGGGGTCCTGACTGCCACACCGTGTCCATCCTTACCCCTGCTTCCCCTGCCGTGGTTTGGTGCAGGAGGGCAGGGATGCCCATCCAACTCTCGCTGGGCTTGCCCTTGGGGACGGACAGGGCGGACAGTTCCCCCAGGGAAATTGGTGCTGGGAAGAGCAAGAGGTCAGGCTCAGGGCCTTCGGGGACTCTGGTCGGTAACCCCACTCCCTTAACTGGATTCTTGCCATTTTTCTGATGGACACAGTGAGGGAGCCCAGGAAACAGCTGCCTGAGCAGCACAGGAGGATGCTGGTGGTCTCTTCCTACAGATAGAAAAATGGAGGCCAGATGGAGGGAGTGAGGCCTTTTTCAGGTTCCTGCTTCATGCCCATGGCCCTCACGCTCTAACCCGGCTGCTCGCTGGAGCCTCCTCCACCCACCGTTCCCTGACATGCTGCCCCAGTTCCTTCTGCCAGCAACCTCCCCGTTGCTCCTGCACCCCACCTCCTCTGGGAGGCCTGCCATGTTCCCACAGCCTTGGCCCAGCCCCGCCCTCTCACGCTGTAAGTCCGGAGGTGTTTGTGCAGTTCTTAGATGAAGGCTTCGCACCCTGGAGAGGCGAGGGCCTGTCTGGGGCCTGTGCATCTTCTTCAGTGCTATAGCCCTGGGCATAGTGGGGCCTCCAATGAACACAGCTGAAGGAAGAAGGGGGCCTCTCAGCATCCACACGCCTTTCTGATGGCCACTCGGGGCTATCCTTCCACTGCTTTCTCCAGCCAGCCAGCACTGCCCACGGTCACCCTGTAGGGAGCTTTGCAGCCATAAAGCTGCATACAGAACTAGGGACACCTCCCCGAGACCCGAGAGGGCTCAAGTGAGGTGTGCCACCCGCATGCTGCTGGCCGGTGCTGGAAGATGACCAGTCTTGGGGGATAAGCACTGAGTAGGGCCTTTTTTTTTTTTTTAAAGATTTATTTATCCATTTTAGAGAGCGAGAGAGAGGGTACAAGCAGGAGGGGCAGAGAGAGGGGGAGAGAGAATCTCAAGCAGACTCCGTGCTGAGTGTGGAGCCCAATGCAGGGCTCAATCCCAAGACCCTGAGATCATGACCTGAGCCCAAACCAAGAGTCAGACACTTAACCGACTGGACCACCCAGGCACTCCCTGAGGAGGGCCTTTTATTCACTTCCTGGGGGAAGCAGAGTCCTGCTGAAAATGCCCCATGTCTGCTCTCCCTCAGTGAGGACGGGCGCACCAGGGGCTGGGGGGCGGGCGCGCGAATCACAAACAGGGCTCATCCCTGCAGGGACCCCTGGGCCTGTCTGAAGCAGCTCCCAGCCCCTGGGCCGTAGAGGATGCTCTCTCCAGCACTCGGGACTGTGCCAGTGGCACCAGCCATTCCGGGGCTCAGACCCACTTCCGGCCCTCAGCTGCCCCCGTACTGCCCTGGCCACGGGCCTTGGGGTCACCACTCTGCTACCTGCTGACCGCCAGCCCATGGCTACGTGGGCAGAAACCGTTTCGGTGGTGTTCAGGCTGTGAGCCCCAGGCTGTAAATGGCACATAGGCAAGTGCTCAGGCTGCTTCTGTCCAGATGGCTACAGGCCTCAGTCTCCCTCCCGGCCCTTCTCAGCACTGAAGCCACTGGGCACAAAGTCTAGAGATCAGGTTTCAAGCCTCAGCTGTAAAGGACATTTGTATCATGTTTCACTTGTAGCACTTAAAATTTTTTGTTATAATTTTGAAATACATAAAGAAGCGCTTTTCACTTGTATCGTTTAAAAGTATGCGGTCTGATTATCATCATCCTCCCATGGACCTCACCAGTTTCGTCCTTAATGTCAGCCTCTGTTAACCGTGGGGTCAGGGCTGCTGGGCTCCCTGGGGTGGGCTTTGTACAAACAGGCCAACCCAGGGGCTGGGGTCCCCCCTGGACCCAGCTTCACCCCAGGACCCCAGAACTTGAGCCCAGCTCACGGGCAGCCTAGGGTGCTCGTGGCAGGCCTGGACTCGGGCCATGGGATGGAGTGGCATGACCCACGTCTGTTTATATCATTAGCACCGAAGCTGGCTGGCCGAGGCTGTCACCCCATTCAGGGAACTGTTGCCTGGGCTCGTGTTTCCAGCCCAGTTGGTCGGAGGGACACATGGAGTGGGGGGGGCAGAGGGGCCTCTGGCTGCTCCCCCACCCCACCCCCCGCCTGTTGTCAGGAGAGCCAGAGAAGACTGCATGTCCCTCCAGGGTGCTGCTGATGTCAAGGTGGGCACCCCCTGCCCAGAGGGCTCCTGGGCGACCCCGCGTCAGCTGCCTGGCGGCTGGCATTGTCCCATATCTGTTTATGCACTCTCAGCTTGTGATACCTAGCCTCTCCCTCCTGTTGCCCTCCCTGCCCCTCTCTGAAGCAGGGAAGACAGTGGGCTGGCATGGGGGGCGAGGGGGGTTCGCTGGGAAAAATGCCTGCTCCACGGTTTGAGGAAGTGTTCCCTCTTTCCTGGCTCCCTGGTAGGTTCCTACCTCCTTTTTCTGTCGTTGGTACCTGCAGGTGCCAGCATCCCAGGCATAACCCAGGGAAGGCCTGGGGAGAGGACCGGGGTTCCTGGCCCGGCACCTGACTCTGCACCTCCAAGCGATGGAACCTTGAGCCCCTCTCATAAGATCCCTAAGGCCTTTCCGTCATCTGTCAAATGGGAATTTCAGACTTGTCCCGCAGGCTGGAGACCGGGGGCACAGGAGAAGAGGTACGGGGACATCCTTCAGGAGCCCAGAACGGCCGCCAAAAGCTTATCTGTGGCATATAATGTTCTGTTTCTGTAACTTCCCTAAGAAGGGACAAGGGGCCTCTGGCCGCACTGAACTTGGTAACAAAGGCTGAGACAGACCTCAGTGTCAGCAGGAACCAGGAGTTAGAGAACATGAGGGTTTCTACACTTGATAGAAGGTGCCAGAAAGGACTGGGCTTGTGATCTAATTACTGGGCAAGCCCGGGGAGACATCCTCGCCTTGAGCCACAAATAAAAGAGTGTTAGAGATGGCAGGCACCCTGCAGAGGGGTTCTCAAACCGTGTCCCCTCAAGCCCTTGGGCCACCAGGGGTGCAGTGGGGGAGGGGAGCATGGTGTTCCAGCCCCACCTGTGTTTCAGTCACCCATTATCTCTTTCACTGAGTGCAGTTGGAACTTGGATTGGAGAAGAGGCTCCACCACTGAAGTAAATATTTAAAAAACAGAGAACTAATCCAACTCCACCATTTCACCAAAAAGGAAACCGAGGTCCAGGAAAGAGAAATGGCTGGCTTAAGTTCACTCAGCTCAGTTGCGCCAGGGCTGCTGCCTGGGCCACTCACCCCTGGTCCAGGGACAAAGAGCCTTCGCCCTGAGGAAGAAGAGGACAGTTGCCAAGTGTGTGTGGAGGGGGATGTCCCCAGCAAGGTCTGGGCCTAGGTCTCAGCTCACCTGACGAGGTGAGGCCTCAAGGGCCAGGAGCCATGTTCTCCCAAGGCAGGCCGCCCGGAGACTGATCTGGGATGACAGGAGGGCAGAGTCCTCCTCCGCCCTCACCTCCCGAGCAACGGAGAGCTTTGCGAGTTGTCAGCCCTGGCAAGGCCTCTCCGGCTAACAGTGACCACTTTGCTGCCCAGCACCCCAGAATCACCTCAGATTCCTCACTGCAGGTACTGGAGGCAGGCAGGCACGTACCCCCCTGCGCCTTTACAGGTGGGGACACTGAGGCACCGGCAGTAAGCGGGCCTGGCACCGCGCCTCCCTGACGCAAACCCTATGCTCTCGTCATCATTGCCTGCTCCTCTGGTATCTCTCCCCGGCCCCTGTCCATGCCAGGGACTTGCCCTCCTCCTCACGGAGCCGCTCTGCTTGCCCCTGCACCCAGCCCTGTGCTGACTGGCCCATGCTTCCCCTCACTTGCTTTAGCAAGGACAACCGAAGTGCTTCTCGGGTCTCTCAGCAGGCCCAGAGCTCTTGGCCTAGCCCCTCTCCTGCGGAGGTAAACAGAACCATCCCCCAGCTGCGGAGAGAGCACAAGCCGGGAACTTGGTCCTCCCACACTGACTAGGTGGGACTGGGCCAGCGAATCCCAATAGGCTCCTCACACCTGCCCCTTCCCTAAGATAGGTGGCCTACAACTCAGCACCAGGGTGACCAGGCAGCTCGGGATTCTCCCAGTTAGCACTGAAAGTCCCAGGCTCCAAGAGATTCCTCAGACATGGGCAGCCAGGGCAAACCGGTGCCCCTACTCAGCGTACAAAAAACCAGGGTCATCACGCCTCCCACTTCTCCCCACTGAACAGCGTCTTTCTTCTTTCTGGAACTCTAGTCTCTGCCAAGGCTAATGGAGAGGACCACAGTCAGTCCCTTCAACCTGTCAGGCCCCCTCAGACTGAGCTGGGGACTACCATAGGCCCACAGTAGGGTCAGAGGCCTAGAGTCTGCCCTAGGCCCTGTGAGATAAATAGCAGAGAGAACCCGAGAAAGGCCTAGTGGGATCCTGGGCCTCGATCCCAATCCAACTTTATCCTCAAGGTGGGGGGGGGGGGGCACACCACTCTGATGACCCCAGGTAGGGCAACCCTAGGGCTGGAGCCAGGCAGGGTCTGCCCAGGGCTCACTGAGGCTGCCTCTACCTGACTTCCAGGTGAGTCATTTCCTCCCTCAGCTGGTTATGAGGCTGGGAGGGGAAGGGAGGGGGCGGCATCTAAAAATAGCAGGGCCTCCACCGCGCAGACACCCAAAGAGCTTCTGCTCGGGCAAGGGAGGAGCCAGCTTCTCCTCCGAGCTGACGCCAGCCGTGGTCCCCAGCCGGTGCCTGCATTAGGGCCGGGAGCAGGACGGCCCGAGATCCCCTAGAGTCCCCTTCCCAGGCTCAGCAGAGGGTGCTGAGGTGTGGAGGGGGCATCCTGAAGGTGAGACACAGGAGCAGTGCTGGGTGGGGGAGGAGCTTAAAGCAGACAGAGCCCGGGGAGGGGTGGAAGGATGCGTGGTATGTGATTCGGGTGGAGACTGGCAGAGTCAGCAGGGACTGATCACCTCCCACATCATCTCCACGGAACCACCTTTGCTCCCCTCCCTACCCACACACAGGGACACACACAGGGACACGCAGACATGGCCCCACACTCAGCCGGCCTGTGAGTCATTTCCTTCTAATAGGACTCCATTTCCCTCATCACCAGCATAGACTGAGGACCTACTGTGTGCTGGAGTCACGCCCTGGAAGGCCAGGAGACGAGGCTCATGACTTTCCTAGAGGATGTCTTAAGAGGCCCCCCAAGGCACGGGCAGGCCAGCACCCAGGGCAGAAACACAAGAGGCAGGGAAGACCCTGTGCGCTGGGACAATCTGCAGTCAGGGCAGCTCAGGGTTAAGTCCCGGCGCAGCCACTTTTGGGCCATGGGAGCTGAGACCCGTCACTAACACTCTCCTTGCCCGGCCTGTGAGGGCCAGTGGCGTGAGGAGCCGCACTGAGTAACAGCAATGGCCGCTATGGTGAGCGTGTCATATTTACCTTGTTCTCTGCTATCCTTGCAGTAGCCTAATAAAGCAGTGGAAAAATGGAGGCCCAAAGACATTAAGTAACTTGCTCAACATCATACAGCTAGCCGATCGAAGAGACTGGATTTGGACCCAAATCTGAGGCAAACTCACGTGCATTATGGGGTGCAGGTGGGGGCCTGTTAAAGTCTGGATTTGGTTGAGGGTATGCTGATCTCGGACTCTTCTGGGAGGGCCCTCGGACACCAGCCCCGGGTGACTAGCAGTGCCAAGCCTTTGACTGGGGGGCTGGCCACTTTCCTTCTGTCTTACCTCCCTCACCCTGAGCCCCCACCAGCACCCAGGGTCCCTCCCACAAACACAGAATGTGCTAAGCCCTCTCTTGGGGTCACCACCTCTAATCCTTTCAACAGCCCAGTGAGGGAAATGGCACAACTCCCACTTGACAGAAAAGGCAGGCAGATCAAAGGGATCATGAATGTGCTGGTGGCCACAGAGCTAGAGAAAGCAGATCCTGGACCAAACCCCGGTCCCCCAGGGCTCCTAAGCTGAGGCCTGTTCCCCACAGCCCAGCTATCTGGTGGGATGGGTGGGAACCCTGTGCTCTCCCTGCCTGATCACACTTTCCCTGAAGCATCTTGCTGGATTACCCGCAAAACCCAAACCTTGCGTCAGCCAGATGGGCCCTGGCTCTGGTAAGAGCCTCTTTCTGCTTCTCTGGGCTTCCCCCACCGTTATCTGACTCATTGTCTGCTGGTCCCAGGAGACTGGGGAGAGGCAGCCTCTTATCCCTACAGTACAGATGGAGACACCAAGGCAGGAAGTGACCTCTGCCAATGAGTCAGGGGTCAGAGCCAGGAGCAGCTGAGGCCAGGAGGCCACAGGTGGGACCTCACGGCCTGGGTAATGCGCCTGGAGTGCCACACACTCAGTAGAAGAGTGGCCACCATATAGTAGGCACAAATATCAACAGATTTGTGTTGAATGAATGGATGAAGGTTGCAGGCCCTGGGTGGAGAGATGAGCGGTGATATTGCGGAAAGGATGAATATGATATAGAGGGGGAAACAAACAAACAAACAAAAACCCATCCCACAAGCCCAGTCTTGCCCCAGTCACAGGCTCCGCCAGCCCAGCTGGGGCTTGTCCTCACGGCTCTCCCATCTCTGAGCATCATCACGGCTAACCTTTCCTGGGTGAGTCCTAATGACCACGGGGGCTTAACACCTTACAGCCACCTTCTTATCTAATTCCTCCTTCAACTCAATGAGGTTGGTGTGTACTATCATCATTCCCATTTGGCAGATGACTTATCTGGGGCTCAGAGAGGTTAAGCAAGTTCCCCCAGGACACACAGCTCAGCCCTTGTCCCAACACGTATGGGACAACAAAGGCCAGGGCTGACTTAGAAGTGCTCTCCACATCCAACTGGGAGAGGGGCCCCTGTGTCTGCGGCTCCCGCGGCTCCCACGTGGGGCTGCCCAGGTGTGCCTGCGGGTCGGCGCCAGGAACTCGGGTGTCTGTCAGGTCAGTGCAAGCGTGGAGGGACAAGCTCAGAACAGAACGCCCATGTCCCGGGGACAATGAGCCGCGGCGCCTGGGCGGCAGGGCGACTTGCCGCAAGCCTGCCCGGGCACAGTGAGCCTCGGGCGCGGTGCCCTCCCCGGAAACCCCGGCCGGGGTGGGGGGGGGGGGGTGAACGGCTGCGGGGAGCCCCGCCGGCGCCCTTCTCCCCGAGCTGGCCCAGCGCCTGCGGATGGGCCGCGCAGCACGCTGCCGGCGATTGCGCCATCCGGCCGCTGCGCGGGCCCGTCCCGCACGTTGTGCACAGAGCGCACCCCAGCCGCCCCGCCCGCCGCCCCCCCTCCCGGCCCCTTCCCCTGCGGCGGGGGCGGGTCCAGCCAGACGGGGTCCCCAGCGGCCCAATCACTCGGAGGCCGTCGCAGCCTCGTCCCAGACACCTCTGATGGCTGCCCTTTGCTCTGTCTGCTCTGAGGGGACAAATGAGGGAAATTGAGTAACCCAGCTCGGCAAGGCAGGAAACTCCTGGCCGCTTTGTTACTCACGATTTTACATCAGCGTTTTTGGGGGGAGGCGGGGGAGGGGGTGACTCCTGGGAGAATTTCTGGAGTTAAGGAGACCGGGGACAAACGCAGCCCTCCGGGGCTGTGAGCACGCTCCAGGCTGGTCTTACTGGTCTCTGCCTCCCAGGCCAGGCACAGTGCTTGACACTCCTAGGTCCTAGGTGCTCCTCAGATTCTTGAAAATGCCTTTCCTGGGGGGCGCCTGGGTGGCTCAGTTGTGAAGCTTCTGCCTTCCGCTCAGGTCATGATCCTGGGGTCCTGGGATCGAGCCCCGCTCAGCGGGAAGCCCTCTCCCACTCCCCCTGCTTGTGTTCCCTCTCTTGCTGTCTCTCTGTCAAGTAAATAAATAAAATATTAAATTAAATTAAATTAAATTAAAATGCATTTCCTCACCGTCCTCCTGCTTTGAGTGGCTGTCAGGTGAAAGGGGAGGGGTTTAGGGCTGGAACTGAAGCCTGACATTTGGGGCCAAGGTTCTGCCTTTAGCATGGGTTTGCTGTTTCACCTGGGCAAGTCCCTTGACCTCTCTGGGCTGCATTTCTTCCGGTGGAATCAGTAATAAGGTAACTTGCCTGGCCCTAAGACTCAGCACAGGCTTTGAGTTCCTAGCAAGCAGGAGAAAGAAACTTCCATTTAAAGTAGAGACTTCCTCTTGAACACTCCTTCTCCTCCTACTCCTGGCTGGAGGCACAGTATTCTGTGTCCACTCTGAACGTCAGGGGTGAGTGGCTGTTTGTTGCCTGTCAGCTCAAGTCCAAATTTCTTGACTTGGCACTTGAGGCTTTCTGACATTGAGTCTAAGGTACCAACTACACCCCTACACTGTACCCTTAGGGGGAATCTCAGACTCCCCCACATACACACCACTAATGTTCGTACTACTATGCCCTTTCTCATGCTGTTCCCTCCCCCCAGAATGCTCTTCCCTGCACTCCTCAATGATTGGCTCCTGAAATACATCTCCACTATAAATGTTACCACCCTACCTACTTTCCTGTGTACCTGGTCTAGAGCAGGCGCCCTGTTATTCCCTCTCAGAGCTTCCTGTTCCTTCCCTCCTCGGCTCTAACTGTCCCTTGGGATTAGAAATTTGTTTCTCCACTGGACTGAAAGGTCTATGAGGGAGAGATCGTGTCCATTTCTTCATCTCCATATACCCAGCACTTACCCCAGGAGCCTGGCACACAGTAAGAGCTTAATAAATGTTTGTGGAAAGGAAGAAAGGATAGATGGTTGATTAGCAAAAACACCGAGAATAGCCAAAATGCCCTCCAGTAGAAGGCCAGTGTTGTAAGATGATGTACAGCTGGACGGGATACTAGGCAGCCTTAAGCAGGTACAGACTTCCATAGAAGACTGTTCCTGATACTGTGAGAAATAAACTCTTTCTTTCTTTTTTGGGGGGGGGGGTTAGGGAGGGGCAGAGGGAGAGGGAGAGAGAGAATCTTAAGCAGGCTTCATGCCCAGCACAAAGCCCGACGCCGGGCTCAATCTCACAACCTTAGCCGAAACCAAAAGTTGGATACATGCGGTGTCTGAGGGGCCAGTCGGTTGAGTGTCTGACCCTTGGTTTCAGCTCAGGTGGTGATCTCAGGGTCATGATCTCAGGGTTGTGAGATCAAGATCGGGCCCCATGTCAGGCACCGCACTCAGCAGGGAGTCTGCTTGAGATTCTCTCCCCTCTCCCTCTGCTCCTCCCACACATTCTCTCTCTCTCTCTCTAACATAAATAAATAAATCTTAAAAAAAAAAAAGAGTTGGACACTCAAATGACTAAGCCACCCAGGTGCCCCAAAAGAAAGTCCCTTTCTGGGCGCCTGGGTGGCTCTGTCATTAAGCGTCTGCCTTCGGCTCAGGTCATGGTCCCGGGGTCCTGGGATCGAGCCCCGCATCGGGCTCCCTGCTCAGCGGGAAGCCTGCTTCTCCCTCTCCCACTCCCCCTGCTTGTGTTCCCTCTCTCGCTGTCTCTCCGTGTCAAATAAATAAATAAAATATTAAAAAAAAAAAAAGAGAGAGTCCCTTTCTAATGAACAAGGAAAGAGGGTGGTGGTGGATGGGGAGCACGTATCTAATGCCATAGAGATGTCTGTAAACATAAATCAAGATGGTATAGGCCCGACTAAATACCCCTGAGAAGTAGGATACAGACATTATCGTGGTTCAATATATCATGCATCTAAACCTTGCTTGGACCTCATCTCGTCTGGAAGGCTTCTCTGCTCCTGCCCTTGTGTTACAGGAGCTGCCCCGAGCATGCAGCCCGCTGCTGCAGAGCAAGGCCCGGCCTCCTTCCTCGGAGTCCAGCCCAGAGGCGATGAGTACGCAGGCAGCTGGACAGATGAGAAAGCAGAGCTGGTGAGGATGGTGACAGCGACGGCGGCAGGACTGACACCGGGCGGCCTACCTCCACCTGCCAGGTGACATCATTACAGGTTGCCCTGGGCCATCAGGCAGAGCCAAACCGTGACGGGAAGCCTGGCCTTAGCGCGAGCAGGGCTCAGTCGGCTCCCTTCCCGATTCAGGACCCTCGGTCCCAGCTGTGGGAGGACACAGGGCACAGTCCCACTGCCCTCAGGGCGCCCGGAGTTGAGAAGTGTCAGACTCACTTGGCATGAACCAGCGGCCTCCTGCCTGCCCACTTGCCCGCCGTCTGTGCCCCAGTGGCTCCCGGGGGATCCGAGGCCACACGATTCAGCCCAACTGGGCCAGGAGGGAGGAAGGAAGAGCGGCAAAGGGCTCAGGGTCAGATGTCTGAGCTTCTGTTCCCACGGGGGCCTCTCATTAGGCTTGTCAGGAAGTAGAAAAGAGTATGGCCCTTTGCCTTCATTTTCAGTTTCCCATCTCAACCGGCCTCTCTTCCCCTGCCTGCTTCAAAACCGGTTCCCTGTCTGGAAAATCCTGGGTTCGTGCAGGGATGTACCCTCCATCTGGAGTCACTCAGTTTCCAGTAGTTTCAGGTCCACGCGTATCAGCCGTGGGTCCCTGGACTACTGGCTTTGCCCCTCTGTGCCTCAGTTTCCCTAGTAAACCCGTTAATGCATGGCAAGTGTTTATTTATTTATTTAGAGATTTTATTTATTTATTTATTTGAGAGAGAGAGAGGGAGAACACAGAAGGAGAGGGAGAGGGAGAAGCAGGCTTCCCCCGGAGCAGGGAGCCCGATGCGGGACTCGATCCCAGGACCCTGGGATCATGACCTGAGCCAAAGGCGGACGCTTAACTGACTGAGCCACCCAGGCGCCCCATAAAGAAACCTCAGTTGGACAGCAAATGTTTAGAAGTAGGCCCAAAACTCATAAGTGTATCTGTTACCTGTATGAATTAGCTATTAGCCGTGTGGCTAGGATAGTAACAGTACTTACTTCATTGAGCTATTGTGAGGATTAAATTAGATAATGCGTGTCAAGTGCTTGGCTGTGTTAAGTGTCTACTTGTCTCACTAAAGACAGTAAGATGAGAGTACAGATCTCAGTCGCTGAGATGCCAGGGGATCAGGAGGGCGGCTGCTGGGGGCTTCCTGGGAATAGAACGCTTGGTGCTCCGCGGCCCACGCAGCCATGCTGGTTCAACGGTGTTACCAAGCCCGCTGTTGCTGAGCTATCTGGTTAGTCAACCGCCTGCTCCTTCAAACCCATTTAAACCAGCTCCATCTGGTCTGGCTTTCCCAACATACCATCCTGGCAGCTGTCACAGGCCCAGAGTACTGGGCAAAGTGTCAGGCCTGCTGCAAAATACATTGGAACTTTATCTGACCCCTGGCTCCCGCCCAACCAGAAATACATTGGCTGGAACTCGCGGCCAAGCTTGAGCAAGCCTGGAGGCTGGAGGAGGAAGGCAGCCAGGAATCACGGACCAGATATTCCAACCCCCCCGCCTCTATCTTTGTTGGACCCCTTCTTATTTGCATCGTTCTATTGACGCCGTTCCTTACTATGAAAGAGTTTTTGAAACCTAAGGCTGAAACCTGAGCTCTGGATTTACAGAGAAAGGAGACTTTCTCTTCCCTCAGTGTTGATGTGCAGCCGTCTTTTTGGAGGCCAGGACAATCCTCTGTGCCACCATCTGGAACTCCCCAGAAAGGGCCCCACAGAAAGGCAGCAGGGGCAACCATGCCAGATTGGAACCTGGCCAGCTTTGGAGGCTGCAGAGCTCAGCCCCAGGGTCTCCACCCCAGTCAAGGGTGAGCCTCCCTCCAGGTCTGCTCCCTGAGGCCACGCCCCCAGGGAGGTCCCTGGCCAAACAGGTCTTAATGCAGGTACTCCTTGAAAGGCCATTGTCTTGGAATAAAAGGAATTCCAGGAGTGCCCCACCCCAAGTGCCTTTGAGCATTCAATAGAGCAGGCTTGTCAGTGAAAGAGAAAAAAAAAATGTTAGATGTGTTGCCCGGATAAAGTTTTGGACATTCAGTTACAAATTCGAGAGCTCCAAAATGTCTCATTACACAGGTGATATTGTCAAGACCTTAAGCCTCACAGATGGCGAATTCACTAGATTCAGAATTTTGGGGAAATTGGCCTGATCAATTTGAGTATGGACTGACTATGAGATCATATTATGGAACTATTGCTAGTTTTCTCAGATGAGAGAATCAAAATGTGATCATTTAGTCGAAACCACAATGAGATATCTGTTAGAACGGCAAAAATCAAAAACACAAGAAGCAACAGGTGTTGGTGAGGATGTGGAGAAAAAGGAACCCTCATGCACTGTGGGTGGGAAAGCAAACTGGTGCAGCCACTGCGGAAAACAGTATGAACGTTCCTCAAGAAATTAAAAATAGAATTACCATATGATCCAGTAATTCCACTACTGGGTGTTTACCCAAAGAATGGGAAAACACTAATTCAAAAAGATATATGCACCTCTATGTTTATTGAACAATTACTTACAATAGCCAAGATATGGAAGCAGACCCAGGGTCCATCCATAGATAAATGGATAAATAAGATGTGGTATAGGGGCGCCTGGGTGGCTCAGTCAGTTAAGGGTCTGGCTCTTGATTTTGGCTCGGGTCATGACCTTGGGGTCCTGGGATCAAGCCCTGCATCTGGGTCCGTGCTCAGCGGAGAGTCTGCTTCTCTCTCTCTCGTCCTCTGCCCCTCCACTGCTCGCACACTCTCTCTCTAATAAATAAATCTTAAAAAAAAAAAAAGATGTGGTATATCTATATAATGGAATATTACTCAGCCATAAAAAAGAATGAAATCTTGCCATTTTCAACAACATGGATGGAGCTAGAGTGTATTATGCTAAGTGAAATAAATCAGAGAAAGACAAATACCATATGATTTCACTCATATGTGGAATTTTTGTTTTCATATGTGGAATTTAAGAAACAAAACAATCACAAAAATAGACCAAAAAAACAGACTCTTAAGTATGGAGAACAAACTGGTGGTCACCAGAGGGGAGGTCAGTGAGGGGGAGAGGGGGAATGGGCAAAATAGGTGAAGGGGATTAAGAATACACTTATTGTGATGAGCACTGAATAATGTATAGAATTGTTGAATCACTATACTCTATACCTGAGACTAATATAGCATGTTATATGTTAATATGTTAATTATACTGGAATTTCTTTTTTTTTTAAGATTTTATTTATTTATTTATTTGACAGAAAGAGACACAGCGAGAGAGGGAACACAAGCAGGGGGAGTGGGAGAGGGAGAAGCAGGCTTCCCGCCAAGCAGGGAGCCTGATGCGGGGCTCGAGCCCAGGACCCTGAGATCATGACCTGAGCTGAAGGCAGACACTTAACGACTGAGCCACCCAGGCACCCCTGGAATTTCTTAAATGAAATAAAATTACTAAAAAAAAAAAAAAAAATGTGATCATCTAGGAGAAGAGCCTATCCCTAAGAAATTCATATCGAAGTATTTGGGGGTGAACTATCATGATGCCAGCAACTTCTTTTCAAATGGTTCACCAAAAAAATGGTACAGAGAAAGCAAATATGTCAAAAAGTTAACAATAGTTGAATCTAGCCAGAGTATCTACATGTTTATTGGGTCATTCTTGCAACCTTTAGTAAAACTTTAAGGGGAAACACAAATAAAATAGGCTTATTCACATGCAAAACAAGACAATACAGAATTCATCTTGCACTAGATGAATTTCACCTCTTCTCTGAGGATAGAAATAGTAGAAACAAGATGGCGTCCAAGATTGTGGAGCTGAGCCAACCAAAGAGAACCAACTATTTTTATTTATTTGTCAGAGAGAGAGAGAGAGCGAGCACACAAGCAGAGGGAGAAGCAGGACTCAATCCCAGGACCTTGAGATCATGACCTGAGCTGAAGGCAGACACTTAACCCTCCGAGCCACCCAGGTGTCCTGAGAAACAATTATTTTTAAAGAGTTTACTAAGTACTTGTTTGGAAACAGTACTGATCATTAAAAATCCTTTTAGTTCATGGCGAGGAGAGGACTCATCTTGAAAACTGGGAGATTCCAGCCCTTTTAGCTGCTTGGCACCAGATTTAACACCAGTCAGGAAGCACATTTTGAAGACCTTCTATGAGCAAAGCCCTGAAACTTCACAAAAGGTATTTTCCCCTCTGTCTGTAATCTGATATTGAGTACAAAGTCGTCTCAATTTTTTTTATTGTGTTTGTTATAAGTTGAATTGTGTCTCCTGAAACTCATATGTTGAAGTCCTAATCCTCCTTGTGACCTTATTTGGGAATAGGGCCATTGCAGATGGCATTTGTTAAAGTGAGGTCAATAGGGTGGACCCCAATCTAATCTGGTGACCTTATGAAAATGGGAAATTTGGGCACAGAGACACACACACACACACACACACACACACACACACACACACACACACAGGAAGAACACCATGTGAAGATGGAAGCAGAGATTGAACTGATGCTCCCATAAGCCAAGGAGCACCAAAGATCACCCGCAAACCACCAGAAGCTAGGAGTGCAGCATGGGACAGACTCTCCTTCACAGCCCTCAGCAGGAGCCAATGCCACTGATACCTTGATTTTGGACTTCTTGCCTCCAGAACTGGGAGGCAATAAGTGTCTGTTGTTTAGGCCACCCAGTCAGTGGTCATTTATTCTGGTAACCCTAGTGAACTAAGTGGTAAACATGCCACCAGATTTACTACTTCGACCATCTGAAAACTGTACAGTTCATTGCTATTAAGTGCATTCACACTGATGTGCCACCATTTTTTATTTTTCACTAGGGCAAAACCTAAGACTGTGGGAGGGTTGGATACATACCTGCTTCTTTTTAGCTGAGTGACCTGTCTTACCACGTGTGCAAAGAAGATACAGGGCAGACAATGTCCTGCTCTGATGCATGTATCATTGCCCATGCGTGGAGAAATTATAAAAAGCGATAATAGCTCACAATTTATTGGGCAATCATTATGTTGCAGGACCATGCTAAGGGCTTTACAAGGAATATCTCTTTTAATAATCACGATAACTTTTTTTTTTAAGATTTTATTTATTTATTTGACAGAGAGAGACACAGCGAGAGCAGGAACACAAGCAGGGGAAGTGGGAGAGGGAGAAGCAGGCCCCCCGCCGAGCAGGGAGCCCGATATGGGGCTCGATCCCAGGACCCTGAGATCATGACCTGAGCCGAAGGCAGACGCTTAACCAACTGAGCCACCCAGGCGCCCCAATAATCCCAATATCTTTATCAGGAAGGTATCATTAGTCCCATTTTATAAATTTTATAAAAAGGGAAAATTGAGCCTCAAAGAGATTAAGTGCTCAGTTTTGGCAGCCCTGGGATTTGGAGGCAGGTCTTAACCACTGTGCACACTTTTTATTTTCTCAAGGCCTGGGGAAAAAAAAAGGAAAAGGTGATTGATGAGATTAAAACTTAGCTTGCGTTTGTGCCGAATCAGCCAACTTCCCTAGAGCCCCCAATGCACATGGGGTCACACCTCCAGCCCGGCTCTCTCATATAGCCCCACGTTCAGGGGAGGAACTCGGAAGAGTCCAAGAATTCTAAATTCAAACTTGACTTTCCAGGTCATTGTGACAGTGTGTTTATGGAGGTAGAAAATACATTTGACTTGACAGCTTATTAGCTTGACTTGTACATGTTGAATATTTAGACATGTGGTGTATAGGTTTCCATTTGCGCTCTTGCCCTGTGCCCTGCTTACCATGGTTCTCCTACGGCCCCCCAGTGGTGGTCAAAGCGGGGAAGTCCCTCAGGGTGACAGAGAGAAGCCACAAGCTCTGAGCAGAGACCAGGCCAGAAGCTGCCCTCTAGCAATTTCACCTAATTTCATCAAGGGTCAGGAAGTTAGTTGCTACAGTGTGGGGAGAAGTCCAGATCTCCTACGTGGCTCCACGTGATGCTCAACCCACCGCAGAACCTGCATCCCTGTAACGTGCATCCACCCGCTCAGCACAGATTCTCCTTAGTCCACAAATCACATTTGTTTTCTACCCTTCTGCCTACACGTCCATTTTCCAGAATAGGAAAGGCTGGAGTGGCTGTGCTGACCACGGAGAAGGAAAGACAGGGTTGAAGGGACAAGGCTGAAAGGGTCCTGGCGAAAGTGACAGGGTGGAGGGGAGTACAGGGTGAAGGGCGTGGGGGTCCCTTAGGCTCTGGGGGGAAGTAGGGAGTGGGAGATGGGCAAGCCAGTGGGCTCAGCCCGCAGAGTGGTGGTGCCGGGAAGAGCCGCTGTGCCCGAGGGAGGCCGTGGTGATGAGGGTCGGTGGAGGCTCGGGTGAGGCCCCCAGCTGAGGCAGAGATGGGCCAGCGCGGCCTCTGGGGCAGAGGGCAGCCCCACAAAGCCCAACTGGGACCACTGACTCTGGCTTGAGGATTGACCGAGGAGACGCAGGATGGTGGAAAACGGCTTAAAATGTCCAAGTTTGGCTGCTGCCCCATTCAGATCCCTTTCTTCCACAATGCCCTGCAGCTGTGACCCGGACTGATGGCAGCCCTCCCCGCCAGCCCATCACAGCAGGCCTGTGGGTGTGGCCAGGCCATCATGACCCCCCCCCATTTCACCAGCAAGGGCCTGAGAAGTGGACAGGTGGCGTGCCTCCCTCAAGGTCACGGCCAGGAAGGCGTGAACATGAGGTGAAGCCGACAGCCGGGCGTGGGAAAGGAAAACCAATGGCCAGATGCCAGAAAGGATGCACCACTTGTCCTCACCACCGCCAGAGCTCCCACGGATGGTGCACTTACTGGATGCCTCCTCCCTCTCCTGATCCCAAGCTTTTGGAGAGAGCCCGAGGTGGTAATTACCCCCATTCCGCAGCTGAGGCATCTGATGCCCAGAGAAGCCAAGTCAATGGCCCGAAGTCACACAGTAGCAAGTGAAGAGGTTGATGGCCCAAGTCAGGGCACAGAGTGTGTGCTGGCCTGGTACAGGCCGGTGAACCTCCACGGTTGAGTCCACATGAGAAAACCCCACGGAGCCCACGAGTGTCGGGTGAGACGGAGGGCCCGCTTCCAAGCAGCAGGGAACAGCTGTGTTGGCAGGAGGGGGTGAGAAGGTGTGTGTGAGCACAGCTTTGACAGCGGCAAACAGTGCGTGGGAGTGTGTTGACAGCAGGGCGTGGGGTGGCAGTGCCATCACCATGTGTGTTTCTGCTGGCAGAATGTTCTGGTCTGTGTTGATAAACAATTGTTTGGGCAGGCATGAGGCTGGAGCAGGGACAGAAGAGGAGCACTGGGGGCAGGTGGAGGCAGCGGGGGCGGGGGGAGGTGGTGGTGGCGAGCCCAGGGCTGAGGTGGCCTGAGCCTGCAGCTTCCAGAACAAGGGGCAGCAGGCTGGCAGTAGCTGTTTTCCCAGCTGAGCTCACTGGGTGCGAAGGGCTGGGTGTGGATCCCTCTGCAAACCACCTGATGCCCATAAACACGAAAACAGGAGCAGGGACACACTGTGAGGAAGAGAGTGTTCTTCCTGAGCTGCCAGTCGCTCGGATGGAGGTTTAATCAACAGCTGAAGCCAGTGCAAGCACATCGTGATTCCCGTGACCGAGGGGATTCCTCAAAAGTCGGCTTCTTGGAAGAGGCGGCACCCCTGAGACCAACCCTGCTCGTGACTGTAATTGGAGCCCCCGAATCTCGGCCTCGCCTCCTGGCAGACACAGGTGCAAGTCTGCAAGGGCATCTCAACCTAGAAGTCACCACATGAGTGACTTTCCGGGGTGTAGGCCCCACCCCAGCTCTCCCCCATAGGCCCTCCCCTCGGAATGCCCCCCCTCTCCTCTAGCTGAGCTCTATGCTACACCCAAGACCCTGTGGATCCCGCACCTCCTCCTGGAAGCCTTCCAAGCCTGTTCCAAGCTTAGAACTGCTTCCCCCAGAACCCCAACTGTCCGTGTTGCCAGGACCCCTCCCACCGGCCTCCCCACATGGATGTAGCCGGAACATGTGCTCTGTGCAGGGTCCTGAAGTGGGTGAGCCTCAGGATCTTACAGCTCAGGTGGGGTGCACAGAGGGCAAATACACAAATGGGGGTGTGATAGAGGCTGAGTAAGGAATGTGGTGGGAGGGGCGCCTGGGTGGCTCAGTCAGTCAAGCATCTGCCTTCCGCTCAGGTCATGATCCCAGGGCCCTGGGTTGGAGCCCTTTACCTATAGGCTCCTTGCTCAGTGGGGAGTCTGCTTCTCCCTCTCCCTTTGCCCCTCTCCCCTGCTCATGCTCTCTCTCTCAAGTAAATAAATTAAATCTTTAAAAAAAAGAAGAAGAAATGTGGTGGGAGATCAACAAGGAGAGGCATCACTCCTGAGTTGGAGGCCAGGGGACAGTTAGCACATGGGAGCAAGGGGTGGCCCTGGCCAGTTCGTTTCAGCTCAAGTTCAGGGATCTTTTGAAGCCAGCACGTGGTATCTGCTAAATCAATGCCTCTGGTCTCCTGATTGAAAGTCTCCCAAACACCCTCTGAAACCCTTGTTTGGGACCTGGAGGCTCCCTGGCCCTCCCGCCCTCTGCCCTCCGTGGGGTTGGCGGCAGGAAACCTTGGTGCCAGCGGGGCATGTTGGTCCTGCCACCCCCTGTTCAGCCTGCTGCCGCCTTCCTGCCAACAGCCTGCCATTGGCCCTGGGTGGTTACCCAGTGCCCGACTTGCTGCTGTGGCCTGTCCCTTCTTGTCCACCAGGGTTCACAGCTCTTGCTCACCCCACAGGCCAGGGCCAGGGGAAAACACCTTGGACCGAGGCTCCTGCTGGGTAAGCACAGACACATCCCCTGGGCAGGGCTGGCCTCTCCCCTTCTTTGGCTCCGACTGATGTCTTGCAGAAAGTTCGGCAAGGGTGCCTGGGTGGCTCAGTCGTTAAGTGTCTGCCTTCGGTTCAGGTCATGGTCCCAGGGTCCTGGATCAAGCCCCGCATCGGACTCACTGCTCAGCAGAGAGCCTGTTTCTCCCTCTCCCTCTCCCCCTGCTTGTGTTCCCTCTCTCGCTGTCTCTCTCTGTCAAATAAATAAAAATTTAAAAAATCTTAAAGAAAAAAAAAGTTCGGTAAAACCACAGCCCTTGCTTCTCATGAGGCCCCGCCAGAAGACAAACCCACTTTCCTTCAGACACTTAAATAGAATTCTTCCCAGCTGTCACATTTTAACAGGACCCACCTGACCACCCCACACAGTGGCTGACTGCCTCTGTGTTTCCAAGTGAGTGATGTCCGAAGGACCCTCACCCAAAACACCTTCCCCCTGGCCCACTGAGGTGTCTGGAGTTGGGCTCTTAGCCCTAGCCTCAGGAGGCCTTATAAAAATCTGATTCATGGTTAAAGCACTATGTGGGGGCACCTGGGTGGCTCAGTCTTCGTCTCAGGTCATGATCCCAGGGTCCTGGGATCGAGCCC